AGCTAAGAACTTGCTAAGTATATCTCAAATAACCAAAGATAATGGTGTGATTGTTGAGTTTTATTCTGACCAATGCCTTGTTAAGGATAAACTCTCCAAAGAAGTACTACTCCGAGGCTCCCTGAAGAATGGTTTATATTAGCTTCAACTCTCACTTCCTAGGATGGCTTCCCTTTCACCTGGTGCTAGCACTAAAGCATGTGATGCACACTACTATGTTGTTGTTTCGGCTAACTCTGATGTCTCTTCTAGTAATAATAGTAGTCTACATGTTGAGAATCATAATGGTGATCATAATTGTATGAATAAAGATCGTTTGGAGGTTCATGTTAGTCTTCCAGCTCTGTGGCATGCTTGGTTAGGGCATCCACAAGAGAAAACTCTAAAGTTGATACTGAATAAAGTTCATGTATGTGATTTTGATAAGAATAAAAGCTTGAATTTTTGTGAAGCTTGCCAATTTGGCAAAATGCATCAGATTTCTTTTCCTGCCTCCAACCTTCAAACCAATGGTCCACTTGAATTGGGTATTCTAACTTATGGGGACCTGCACCAGTTTATTCTTTAGAGGGATTTCGATACTATATGCTATTTGTAGATGATTATAGTAGGTACATGTGGCTTTATCCATTGAAACTAAAATCTGAAGCCTTTAGAGTCTTTACTCAGTTTCATTGCTTTGCTGAAAATAACTTGAATGCCAAAATGAAATGGTTACAAACTGACTGGGGAGGTGAGTTTAGACCTTTTGCTGGTTATCTTCAACAACATGGCATCCATTTTAGGCATCCTTGTCCATGCTCACATCAGCAAAATGAAAGAATAGAGAGAAGGTATAGGATTATCACTGAATTTGGGTTGACTTTGCTAGCACATGCTGGCATGCCTCTTTGTTTCTAGTGCCAAGCCTTTAACACAACAACCTATCTTATCAATAGGCTGCCCTCAGCTCCACTTGCAAACTTGTCTCCTTTTCAGAATTTGTTCAAGCAAGAACCAATTTATACTGATCTTAAGGTCTTTGGATGCTGTTGTTATCCTTTTATTAGACCATACCAGTGACATAAGCTATCATATCACACTGAAAGATACAACAATGCACATAAAGGATATAAGTGTCTTTCAGCTTCAGGGAAGGTTTATATTATTCGACAGTGTAAATTTAATGAAACAACATTTCCTTTTAAAGATGGGTTTAACTGTTTTCTTTTCAAAGATTCTGATATTGCAGGCTCAAGTTCAAGCTTAGAGTCTAATGTAGCAGGAGATATTTCCTCATGGAACTTTAATCACTGCATCAACTCAAGCTCTAGTCCAGATTCTCTCACTATTATTGTTTCTGAATCTTCTCCTCTGGATGATTCAGTAGCAATCTGTAGAGAAACCATCAATACCTCTACTAACATCATGCCTTCTTCATCGGCACCTCATTTCACTTCTCATGCAATTCCTACTGGAAGCAGACCTGTAGAAATAGCAGCTACTGATATGACAACTTTCACTCACTCAAATGTGCCTCTTGACTTTTGTTCTCCTAGAATACAACTGGAAGTGGTGCTGCCTTTTACAAAAGAGAACGTGCTTGTTGCTGATCACACTATCATTCCTCCTTCAGCGCCTTATTCCACTTCTGATACACTTCCAACCACTGTTGTGATGTCTACGATTCACTCAAATGGTTCTCCTGATTCTTATTCCACTGGATTACAACTGGAAGTGGTGCTACCCTTTCCAAAAGAAACCATAACTACTAATCATCACCCTATGATGACTAGGTCCAAAACTTCAAAAGCTTTAACAAGCCACACTACAGGTCATGCTTATCTAACCACTCAGACTATACTTCCTGAACCAAAAACTGTTGCTGACGCCCTCACCATTCCATAATGGAAAATAGCAATGAAGGATGAATTTCAAGCTTTTCTAAGAAATAACACTTGGGAGCTAGTTCCTTCTACTTTAGGAATGAACTCTGTAGGCTACAAATGGGTTTTTAAAACCAAGTTAAAACCTGATGGCACACTTTAGAAATACAAGGCACGATTGGTAGCTAAGGGGTTTCAACAAACCCTAGGCCTTGACTACTTCAATACATTTTCTCCAGTGATTAAACCAGCCACAATCAAGATCATTCCATCACTAGTTGCTCATAATCAACGGGAAATTCAATAGTTAGACATTAACAATGCTTTCTTGAATGGTGAACTAACATAATCTATTTTCATGGTACAGCCTAAAGGCTTTGCTAATTTGCAATTCCCTCATCATGTTTGCAAGCTTAACAAAGCCTTGTATGGACTCAAGCAAGCCCTTAGAGCATGGTTTGACAACTGAAGAATTCTCTGATTGATTGGGGTTTCATCAGCTCTATTTCAGACAAAAGTCTGTTTTACTTCAAACAAGGCAATCAAATTGTCTACTTGCTTGTATACGTGGATGATATACTCATCACATGTACTGATCCCTCCTTGATTGCTCAGATTACGGAAGATCTAAACAACAAATTTGATTTGAAAGCTTTAGGTGCATTGAATTATTTCCTTGGGTTTGAGGTTGACAGAAATAGTTCAGGATTACTTCTAAAGGCTGGAATGGTAGATTGCAAAGCCTGCAATACTCCCATGGCAATAGGGATTAAATTAGGCAAAGAAGATAGTGATCCTTTTGATCAACCATCGGTTTATAGAAGCATTATAGGGGGTTTACAATACTTAACGCTTTCACAACCTGACTTAACTTTTTCCATAAACAGACTAAGTTAGTTCTTATAATACCCCATAGTTGCTCACTGGACAACCTGTAAGCGAATTCTCAAGTACATTAAGGGAACTGTTCAGCATGGTTTAATCTTTTCAAGAAACTAGAATTTTATCTTAGAAAGGTATACAGATGCTGACTAGGCAAGTGACATCACTGACAGATGATCAACTACTGGCTACAACATCTATCTTGGAGGAAATTTGGTTCAATGGTCTTCTCGCAAGCAGAAGGTTGTTGCCTTGTCTTCAACAGAGGTAGAGCATAGAGCCTTAAGTCAGGCAGCCACCGAATTGGTATGGATTCAGAATCTTTAGAGAACTTGGACTATAGATAAATAAGACCCTTGTACTCTGGTATGACAACATGAGTGCAGGAGCTCTCTCTTCAAACCCCCTTTTCACGATAGGTCGAAACATATTGAAATAGATGTTCATTATGTGCGAGAGTTGGTTGCTGAAAAGAAATTGTGTGTTCAATAGGTAGCTTGAAAGTATCAAATTGCTGATGCTCTTACAAAAACTCTGCCTGGACAAAGGTTCACCATTCTTAGAGAAAAGTTGAATGTGACTGATTCTCTGTAAAGAACTAGTTAATCATTAACGTAATAGACCCTTAAAGTTTAAAAGCACGTGGTACAGTGCAAACAGTTCTTTTTTTTTTCGTTGCTCCTTTGTTTTACTTTCGGGATTGATTATAGAAGATAAGGAAGGTTGTAGTAAATGATAAAAAATAAAAATAAAAATAAAATTGTTGAAGAGAAGTTTGTTTTGAGGGGAGATATTGAGCAGAGATTAAGATGAAGAGAAGTCTGTTTTGAGGGGAGATATTGAGCAGAGAATGAGATGAAGAGAAGTCTGTTTTAAGGGAAGATATTGTGCAGAAGAGGAACTAAAAGTACTAACTTGTTATTGCTCTTATGTTTGTAATACGCAATGTTTTTAGGCAAAGTCTTAAAACACTGCGTTTTGTATTACATAGCAACTATAAAGGCATATGTGTACAGTTTTGTTAGTAAATGAAAAACAGAACAAAATTCACTTCACACAGTCGCGTATTCTATCTTCTTTTCTCTTGAATTTTTCTTTAATTTTTCTTCAATGCACAAATCTCTTCACGAACGGGGATAACTTGAAGGAATGGACGTAGGCTAGTTTGGGTCGAACCACTATATATTGATTGTGTTTGATTTTCTCTTTCATTATTTTTTACTATGTGCAATTTATTTCATATTTGTTCATACTTGCTTGCCAGAAATTGTTAATAGTCACATCGCACTAGAAGAGCCCGTAGGTGACAAAAAGTCATATTTTGCTCATTTAGCAAAAAAGTGATCTTACGAAACCCTATCAAATTAAATAAAACTTATTGAAAACGAGAGCATTGAGACTAGAGGAAGCGTATTTCTTCGGCCTCATTGCCCCAAAAGCTCACCTAGAAGTACTATTATAATTTCTCGGTTGAATTGAGCGACGGAGAGCCAACACTGGTAATCCCCACTACCGGTTGAGCTCCTAATGCAGTGTTTTCTTTCTTAGCAGGGCAAAGTTAAGTCTCACTATAGTTCAAAAACTCAAAAGACATCAAGCTCATAGCATCGCCTTACACTAGTTGACCCTAGGATCAGTTTTTCGGTGTCAATAGTTACATTTAACTAGTACATTTTTGAAAGGATCATTGAATATTTCTGTTTAACTTGTTGAGATACCATTCACTGTTTTTAGGTTTATGGTTATAAGGATAAAGGAGTTCGCGGTCTTAAGAGCATGTCTTAATTTAAGTTAAAATAATCTTATGGCTATATTTGTTTAGTAAATTCTACATGACAAATTTTTGTAATTTCTAGTAGTGAGAAATTTAGTCGAGAGTTTATCTTTCAGTATGGATTAATACATTACTTGGTTAATAAATGGTCATGGAGGGGAAGAAGATGCCAAAGAAGTTAAATTTGAATTTACGTAAAAGAAAAAAATAAAGAAAGGAAATTACATATGAAAAACTATATTCCATATCTTTTCAGGAATGAATCTATATATATAATACCTTACATCGAAAAAATTTGATTTTTTTGATGTTTGATAATAGTTTCAACATTCAAATTACTCTGCGAAGCCAAAGAAGCAAAATATACGCAGTCATTTATATTTCCAGAGTAGCTCTTCATGTTATCATTTCATCAATTTTTCTCTTTTTCACAACTACGTACTCTTACCATTAATATGAGTATTGTATGGATTTTGGTCTCTGCAAAACTTGTAACTATTGCTGCATTAAGTAACACATTGACGAAAAACAAACAAAATGGACTGTACTATGCCACCATATATCTAAAATATTAGAAAGTTCAGGCGTTTAAACAGGGATTTATCAAAACCCCGCGTACACTTGAGAGCAACCAAAAGAAAACACGGCTCGAAGAAACTTAAGCTGATGTGCTTGGTGAAGTACTAGAAAACTCCTTCGTCTTGAAAGATCTAGCTGAATACGAGAAGTTTCCTTCTCATGCAGCAAGTTGAATGCATCTTCATCGAACTGCCCAAGTGAAATTAATAGTTAATTTAAAAAGGTGCATGTTGTTTGCAAAACATGTGGAAAATTTCTCAAAGTCAAGTAAATTTATTTGTTTCAACACTATGACAAGAATTAAAGGGTAAAGAAAAAACAAAAACAAAAAAAAGTCATCAAAACAGTATTTATAACGAAGTAGACAATTATCAACGTGGAACACAAAATTCTATTTCAGTACGCATTTAAGGTTACTAATAAAACTGTGCATATAAATATTTTTTTCCAAAACATGTTTACAGTACACAATAGTATGCCTTTATATAGGCTAATATAATATACAAATATGGAATAAAATCATAAATAAAAAGAATTACATATCTTATAATATCATCCTAAGAATATCCTGATTTTATTCTCTATATACATATAACAAAAACCATTCAAAAAAGATAAATTAAAACATGTCTTACTCTACACCCTTTATTAATTAGTTTGATTATTTAGTTCACTTTCATTCATGAAATATGCCTTTAGAAAAGAATCTAGACTCCCAATATAGTGTCTAACCTTTAGACAAAGTAAAGAAAAAAATTATGTTTGGATGCAGAAAAAACGTACATTGATCTTTGACGTTGGATAATATAGGTTTGGCTTGAAATGTCTTTTCTCTTTTAAAAAGTTGTAATATCATGTTCTACTGTTTTAAGCTAAGAAAAATGAGAAGAATTAAAGTAAAAGGAAGCTTTTCCATAATTTGTGGGGTTTATAAAGAAAGCATGCCCAATAGAATCTTGCATGAATAGATACGTCAAGTCACTTACATACCCTATAACTATTCAATCTGATTTCTAACTTGGCGATTTGAATTATTTTATGGTCGAGTAACAAAGTAATACTTGTCACGGGCTTATCGACTATTGACCACAGAGTTGAGTGCCTATAAATAATTTCACTTGTTTCCAAGTTCTATTTTTTATACACCCTTATAAATAATTATAATAGAGCATCAGATGTTATGTTTAAAAGGTAAAAACTAATAATTAGGAAACTTTTCCTATATATTCTTAAAAAAAAAAATAATAATAATAATTAGGAAATCCTCCATCCATGTTCTAAGAATATATAGGAAAAGTTTACCATCAGATGTTATGTTTAAAAGATAAAAACTAATTATTATTATTATTATTATTATTATTTTACAATGCACTGTTGTTTCATAAACTAATATAACACTAAGATTTCAATAAATGGTAATGTTAATCGACAGACTGAATCAAAGAATTAAAAAAAAAAAAAAAAATTTCTAACTCTTAGAAACTAACATGTAACCTTACGGTAACTACAGAAATTTATTTTTATTTTGTTATGTTAATGGTTTAGAGATAACTAATTGTAAATGGAAGAGAATCGAAGATATTTTTAGAGTATCCTATGAAGTGTGAGAAGCTCTCGTGACTCTGCCAGCTCAAAACGAAAACGAAAAAGAAAAAACAGGAAAAAGAAAATAAAAACAAAAAGACAAGAAGAGAAACAAAACCCATATGTACTCCAACTCACGACTGCCCCATGAAACACAATGTGTCAGAGAAATTACAAATATTATTTATTTTAACATTCAACAGTAGAAAGCATTTACACACACTTACCTATGCAATCCAGATTTACTTTTAATCATAGATAATCATTTTCATTTTTAACACGTCACCGAAGAAAGGGATCTACGTACCTGTACTTTAACTCATCCTTTTCTTGACTGAAAACTCCCACCTCCTCCAAAAGATTGGCTTGTCGGCGCTGCTCCCATATTTCTCTCTGAATCCAAGGAGCTCACATCAATTCCATGTTGATGTTGTGGTTGTTGCTTTTCCCTTTGAGAAAATCCTCCACTCATGCTTCTCACAATTTGCCCCACTCCAAGAAAGTCTCTTGTCATTCTATCAGACCCACCAATCCCCGCATTCAGATTTTGGTGCAATTTCGCTTCATCCATGTTGCTAAAACGTTTATCCGAGTCTATATTAGTTCTGTTTGGATTGTATCCGCCATAAGGATTTTGATCTTGCGCATGTCCGCTACCGTATGCATTCACTTCTCCAGACCCAGTTCCGAAAATTGAAGAATTACCACTGGCAAATGTGTTCATTAAGTCATGAAGATTGTTGTCATTTTCGCCAAAAATGCCGCTGAAGTTGGCCTTGTTATCGCTTGAAGAAGGGCTGCCGAAACTCCTTAGTAATGACGCCGTATTATTGCTTGAACTAGAACCCATTTGAGCAGCCTTTTGGAGCAGTGCTGTGGCGGACATATGAGGGACTATGTTTTCGCTTTGAACTGATGAACTGAAAAGGGAAGGGACGCCGGAGCTAATTTGATCATTGATTAGGTTGTTTGAGAACACGTTGGACCCTTCAACACCACCACCAGCAGTGCCATTCTCGTTGCTGAAGTGACCGGGGATCAATAAACTTGAAGATTGCAGATTGCCATTGGTGTTGTTAGCGTTGTTGCTGTTATTTAAGCTGCTAGTAGTGCTACTGTTGGAGAGGAAGCTGAGGTTGAAGAGGTTGCCTGAGGAGGGTGGGTTATTTGTGTTGTTTGGAAGATCCGGAAACTGCATTAATCCATGGAATGGTTTGTTTGGCAGCAAGCCTTGCTGAGATTGGTGTTCGTCATGGTAATTCTGGCTTGATTCTTGCATGAAAAAGGCAGGTGAAGTCATGGTCTGTTGTGGTCGAAATGATGATGAAGAACCGATGGATGGAGGAAGGAGATGGTCAAATTGCGTTGACCGTGAGCCACCACCGAGTCGTAAAATGTCATTCGATTGAGCATTTTGGTCTTTTATTGATGAAATTTGAGGACCCACTTGAGATAAGCCTAAGCCCATGTTGCTACTTCCGTATAAATGGCTGCCAATGGTGCTCAAACTGGGTGGGTGTCTTGCACTTTCTTGAGCCAGTGCATCACAGAAGGCTCTATGAGTGATAAAACTGTCACGCCTGACACAATTATTTGGAAAGAAGCCATTAGAACAGCTCTCATAGATAGTATAATGGCATCATAAAAAGAGAAATCGCAACAAAATTGAACAGGAATTCATGTCTGGTACCTAAACTACATGAAATTATAGAATATTGACCCCAAAAGAAACAAAAAATGATGTAAAATTTGATATTAATCCAAGGGGCACGTATTATATGTACCATTAAAACAGTAATATATAGGCCCACTGGTTTCTCCAAAGAATTTGATTGAAAAAATATAGTCCAAATGAAATCATGACAGAATATGAAACAGCTATGTGACTGATCGGCTGTGACTAGTTTTAGATTTCATGCGTTCTCTTAATTCTTATCTTCCATCCCATCTTCAATAATGCTTCCATCTTGCATGTCTGAAACATCAATTATATGGTTACCTTATGAAGACCAGAACCATAAATTTAGGGTTTCATAGCTAACGTCAAACTATAAAACAATCAACGATAACGGAAACCCTAAATGATTTTTAGAAAGGGAGCCTATTATAACAACCCAATAGAAGTAGGTAGAGAAGAATATGAAGTTGTAAAGTTAAATCTAATCTCCCAAGAAGACAGAGATATAATTAAGAAGGTAGGTGGAATAATTTCGCTAAAACTCGGAAATGATTAACCAATCAACCGCGAAATTCTATTTCAAGAACTGGCTGTTCAAGAAATGGAACAAGAGAATGTGTTCAACCTTACGAAAAATCATCCATCAATCAAGAAACCATTTCAAGTAGAGAACTGTGAACTGGCCAAGTGGGTAAAGGTAGAAAAAAGAAAGAGATCTAAAGCTGGAAAATAAACCACCCAGAGCTCACGGGAATATTCAATGAGCCCTTGAAACAGAAGAGACTGCATATGGATTAAGATTGAAGAGCACAACGTCGAGACTGCAATGAAGGGAGAAGAGAGAGAAACGTTATCATGAAAAAGGGTACCTGCGAGGCCACAGTCCTGAGCGCATCTAGCCAATTCATAAGAGAACAAACCTGGGAAACAACACAGCAACCCTCTACATGCCGTAGCAACACGTGAATAGGAAAAGGTAAAGAACGAAAAAAGGCGGTGTTTCCGAGGACAAAGAAAAGAAGAACAGTTTTTTCTTCTTCTTTTTTTTTTTTTTTTTTTTGAATTTTTTTTTAACAGTAGGAAGAATTTCTTGGTTGAATTGAAACATCTACGACCATCGCAGTTTCAACGGATTATTCACGTGGGGGCATTTTTCTGCTGCCTTTCCTTCTCTTCTCAATTAGTAGTACCATTGAACTTGAGAATTCGAAAAGATAGAAAAATAAATAAATAAATAAAGTAGAAGGAGACCCGCTTGCAAGAAAACTTAAAAGAGAAGGACAAAAAAAAGGCATCAAAAACTTTTTCTTCTCTTGTCACTTGAGGAATCTAAGCACTACACCAAAGAAGCCAAGCATTACTTATAACGCCTCTGCCAATTTCTTGTCTTTCTGTTTCTCTCCCTATAAACCAAAGAAGATGATGAAGATTATAATGCAAAAGGTTGATTATAAAATTTGGAGATTGAAACGTTTATTACCTTGAAAAAAGAGTACCACAATCACATCTGTATTCTCTAGTACCACAAGTTTTTGAATGAGCTTTCCAATCAGATTGAACAGCATATCTCTTAGAACACTTCTCACACTTCCATTTCTTCTCACCATGTTTTCTAGAGTAATGTTTTTTGATGCCAGTAAGGTCACCAAGAGCTCTAGAAGGGTCATGGTGGACGCATGTGGGCTCAGGGCACAAATAAACCTTCCTCTTCACTTCTTTTGTAGTCTTCTGCTTTAGCTTCCAAGGCAGGTTGTGTCCTCTTCTGTGGAGTTGTAGGTTTTGCTCCCTTTGAAACCCTTTATTGCACACCTCACATATGAACCTGTTTGTTGCCATTAGGGTCTTGGGAGATAGTGCTATCACCTCCGCATCTGGATCTGCTTTGGAAAAATGACAAACAATATAATAAATTATAAGAAAATTCTAAATTAAATACAATTGAAAAAGATTTTATCATCTAAATTTCATTCCAAATTTTTTCAATATTAGGGTTTTCTTTTGCTGGAAAAGGCGGCCAAAAATTAGGAAGAAATTATATGGCCAATTCCTTAAAATCATTTGTTATTCAGATAAGGTAGATCTTAGATAAAATTGATTGATACTTGCTTGGTGTTCCAGGTTGGTTTCTCTTTTTCTTCTGGGTTGGTGGAGCTGGAGCTGAAGATGAAGTTGGTGTTGAGGAATGCTGCAACTTCATCTGGTTTTGATCTTCTTCTCTAATTTCAAAGAAAGGAGCTGAAGAAGACGCAGACATATTAGTATTCAACCTTTACTTTCTTTCTTCTTTTTCTTCTTCTTCTTCTTCTTCAAGTTGTGTAGTGGTGCTTGCTTGTTCTTGTTCTATATTCTTCCTGTACTAGCCAATTAATCTCTGAAATCTACAAACCACAAAACCCTACATTAAAATTTTGATATTTCTCTGAAATCATATCTCAAGAAGCCGAAAAAGGGCTATCCAAGCTTTTGAGTATCGATTAATGAGAAGTAAACAAAAAGGAAAATATCTGGACAGAAAAGCTGAAATCAAGAGAGAAGATGCAGAGAGAGTAAGAAAGAAAGAAAAAAAGGGGAATCAAGTTTTTCTCTACAGTTTCAGTAGTTTTAAATACCGAAATTTAAACAAAGGTTGTTCTCTGATTCGGTGTCATGCAGATAAACCAACACATATACACATAAAGCTTAATTTTTTTTTTTTCATTTTATCTCTTTATTTTTATGTATTATATTTATTTGGATTCGCAAAATGAATTTCATGAATTTGCTCAATTATTCACAAAATAAAATGACAGAAAGAGAGAGAGAGAGAGAGAAAGGGTAAGGCCTACAGGTCGGTGGACCCAATCCACAGCCGCAAAACGACACAGGATGGTGCGTGAGAGAAGCATGAACAGCTACATATACATTACCCTCTTTCTCTCTCACTCATTTTCGTATCTTCTTTCTCACTTCCAGACAAACTCACCTTCATCACCCTTTCTCTCTCATTGCCCCACACAGTAAATTTACAAAATTTTCAAATTAATTAAAACAACTTTTAACATGAATTAATTTGAATCTTTATTTATACATTTATAGCAAACACCTGACAGTTGATTGGGTGTTCCCTGGTTGAAGCTGTTGGCTGAATTTCTGCTTAAATAGTATACTGTTACCGTTTGAGAGGGCAATTGGTCACTGACATCCCGAGGGCAAATAAGGGTCTAGCCTCTTTGTTGTGCTTAGCGACCCCATTGGTGGGGGAGACCGTGCTGGCAGTCACATCACCAAATAAGGGCATTTATGTAATTTCCATTAAACTTTCTAACCCAGAAAAAATTTGAAATCACAATCAAGACCTAATACAACTACTGGCTATAAACAAATTAAACATTATCACAGCTAAGTTTCGACCCTTGATTTAATAGTGAAATCAAGAAACACAATTGTCAAAAAGGTAAAGATGATATAATAAAGTGATAAGAGAATTAATGTAGTCAAGAGGATGATGCTAATAAACTATATTTAATACTTTTTTTGTGGAATTTTAAGTCTTGATTTAGACAGTTTTTTATTATCATTTAATTTGTTTCCATAGTTTGACAGTTTTTATTCCTTGCCAACTACACTTATTTTCATTTGCATGACAGTTTTCATTCTTTAAAACAATGACAGCTTAACAATTACCATGCATCTCACTGTCAAGTATCACTCTCTTAATCTGAAGACGATGCGCTGTAAATTTCTGAGTGGATGACATTTGTATCTAGAGATCAGCTGACTTCTTCATCTCAAACCATCGCCTCTAAACTGCTAAAAAGGTACGTAGTAATCTATTTAGTCTTAGGCGTTACTATTTTGATTGGATATATAATAAATATATATAAAGAAATTATTCATTCATAACGTTGAAATGTTCTTGACATTTTTCTGACTTTCTCTTCAAAAACTTTTGTCCAAAAAATTTTGAGAAATTACCTGTAAAATATAAACAACATTAGTTCTGGATATATACCTGGACTGGACTATCAAAATCTTGATCGTGAAGTTAGCAACTGTTTAAACAACTTCAACTTCAACTAAAATGTGTTTCAAGAAGACACAGCAAACAAAGTTCAAGAAAATAGTACTTTCAACGATTAAAATCTACATTTTCGTATTGCAAAGAAAGCAAAAAAGCAACGTAATAATCAAAATTTCAACCTTAGTTAAGTATGTTTCATACCCATATTTCCATTTTTTTTTTTAATTTATCTATTTGATAGAGAAAATGATATATATGTGAATGCATTGGATAACATTATATGTATATACGTGTGCTTACGTAGGTGATTAAATACAGTTGAAAAGAGTTATAATTGCAAAAGAATATTATATGTATAAATACAATAAAGAAATGAAAAAGATATAAAAAGTAAAACTTCAGTTACAAAGAAATGTCAAAACTCATACAAAACTAACAACACAATAAAGAAACCTGGACTTAGAGGTGAGAGTGAAACATTACAAAAACCATTAAGTGACAGCACAACACTCTGTTTCGCAACACGAGGTCGATGGTTTTGGTAAGAGATGGACACGCTTCAATTCAACAACGGCGCCATCTTTTTTTCACATTAACCACCCTTCACATATCTTCCTATTCCTTCCATGTCCTCTTTGATGCCCACCTTAATCACTCTCTCTCTCTCAATTTAACTAGGTTTTGGCTTTAGTTAATTTAACAACATCGAAGTTTGAGCCAAAAGAGTGGTTTCAGCCCCATTTTATTCGGCAAAGGTTAGAGAGAAAAACTTTATCCACCCTAAGGTTTTGATCAATTATTCTAGGTCCTACCTTTTAAAATACTAGACTTATCACCTTTAAATTTAACAAATGTTTACATAATCTATTAATTGAGATATTTTTCAACCCACATTTTTATATTATCAAAATATTAACATAAGGGGAATATATCCCAATATTTTAAACTGCAGGACTCAGAAGTAGTAGAACTAAAAATTAAAAAGCAAGGGAAACTTCTTGGAAGGCTCATGTGAGGAGAATTGAATTAGTACAATATGATAAATAAAATCAATATAAATTTGTACGTTTGGAGTAAGTGACAAGATTTAAAAGGTTATTTCCTTAAAGTAACAACATTCTCACCACGCAAGCTAAAAGGAAACAACACTGGTATTGTAAAGCTGGAAACCGACAATATTAATGTCATGATGACATGAATACTAGAAAAAGATTAAAGAGACACCTCGCTCGATCGCCAAAAGATCAGTCACGGGTCCTGGTTTCAACGATTTCTGAAATATATTCAACGTCTCCGCAGAGTAAACAATTGATATCAGTAATCTATGGGAATCCTCGTCGCCTGGATATTGTTGGACAAGTTTAAGTTGGAAGGGACATTCCTTTTATAAATGGTGTTGCTTCATTCATTAAAATTTAATTTAACAAGCTAGTTGAAAATCAAGAACTAGTATGAATGTAAACTTTTTTTTTTAATAAAAATTTGCAAGTTTTTAGATCTATTGTAATGTTATTCTAATTCAAACTAATTTAAACGTAAACCTACTTGATTAGTTTTAACTTTAAATAAAGTTAAACTAAACTAATAAAGTAACAAATTTAAACTAAGAGAACTATAATTGATTTCTACTAATTAGAAAATTTAATTGACGACACTTATTAAGGAATCTAAATCCATAAATATTATATTTCTAATTTTCTAGTTATTAGTTAATTTCCAATATATATATATATGACAGTTATGAATTCAATCAAGATTCGACACCAAAGTATTTAATGAGCAAGCCCAATTTTATTAACTCTTCAGTCTAAGGTATGATTCTTTAGCATTTAACTTATTCAATAAATTGAAAAGTACGAATCAAAACTCATAATCGCAAGGCTTGATTAATTATATAATCTTTAATTAGCTATCAATTAAACATGATATTATAGTAATATTCTTAATCATTCAATTAAAAAATGTATCACTAATCATAAATGCTATAATTAATAGGTTATTTGAAAAGTAGTAATAAGATTTCTTTTCTCTGAATATAATTATTTCACAATAATCTCTTTTAAAATAGATACAATAATTACGTAAGCTGCCAGAAAAAAATATATTTATAAATGGTGTTGCTTCACTGATCAACTTTGAATTTAATCAGGTTGTTGAAAATTAAGAAGTGTGTGTTTTTGTTTTAGTAAAAGCTTACAAGCGAATGACCTTTATTTAAGCATAGATTGGTTGTTCATAAGGTTAAATATATGGATTGCTAACTGTTGATATCCCAATATAAACCTGAATTAATTCAATTACTAATTTAGTTAAGCAAAGAATTAGTAAAAGTGGATAAAATATTACATTGCCTGGAACAAAGGTAATTTTAATTGTCATTTGATGAGATGAATATGGACTAGCCCAAATATATTGTACACTGAATATGGTGGCCACAGAATTCACGGTAGCCAAAGTGTTAAGTTCAAGACTAAGGGGGCAAACAACTGAGTTTATAGAGACTAAATTGATAATCTTCTATATAAACGTTGCTCTCCAGGAGACAATATAAAATCACATGAGAAATAAAATACCAGGATAGAGAATTTCAAAAGGAACTTTCTTATTTCATTGATAAAAGTTTGATTTACAATTGAAGGAGTACAACCCTTTTTATAATGGATCGATCCTAAATTAATTAAAATATATATGATAAACATAAGCAAGATGAAATCAAAGATAAGGATAAAATAAAATAAGTTGATTATAAAAACAAAATAAATTAACAAACTTCACATCGTTTTCCTTCTAAATAGGTGAAACGAACACATTTCCTTTATCATTAATGTTATGTGAAACTTCACTCTTTGCTGGCTTCACCAAAATAAATCTTCAAGCTCCTCGAAGCTTGCTTGAGTCTATATATAGATTATGATACTTACATACCTTTTCTGCTTCTCCCTAAAAAACGAAACCATCGGGTTGCGTCATATAGACATCCTCCGTAGAGTTTTCATTCAGAAAAGCAGTTTTGACACCTATCTACCAAATCTCATAAGCATGGTATGCAACAATTGAAAGCAAAATCCGAATGAACTTTAGCATCGCAACTGGCGAAAAAGTTTCATCGTAGTCAATGTCATGTTTTTGTTTGAAACCTCTAGTAACCAAACGTGCCTTATAAGATTGTACGTTACCATCTATGTCAATGTTTTTTTCTTGAAGGCCTATTTACACTTTATGGGTTTTACCCTTCAAGTGTGTATATGTGTGTGTGTGTGTGTGTGTGTGTAGATTCTTACAAAAAGATGTAGATTTTTATAATTCAATATATCTTTTAAATTATAAGAATCTACATCTTTTTGTTTTTCTTCAGATAAAATTAATTCTTTAAGTTTTAATAAATATTCTCTCTTAATATCCTCATCCTGAATCTTATCGATAATATCTAATAAAAATTATTTTGATTTAGTGATAACATTTATTGACTTAGGTCTAGAGGTTGATATCATATTTATTTATTTCATTGCACAGTAGCAAGGCCTACATGGGTCACTACTATTAGGGTTTTGTAGAGATTTACTCTTAATATCTAGAGAATTTTCTATATCTACGGATGAATTATTGTTTAATTTATCATAATTATTTTGAATAAGGTTTAATGATTGTTGTTTTTGTCTTTTAGTTGGACATTGTGTCCTTCTTGTTTGCATTTCCAACATTTTATTCTTTTGCCTTTATTATTGTAGTAAGAACATTTTCTTTTCCTATAATTTTGTTCTAGTTGGACAAAAAACTCAAAACGATGTCATTCAACAATAATAGTTGAAAAAACGACAGCGTTCTGCTCTTCAATAGCTTAAGCTTAGCTGCTCCACTTAATTTACTTACACTGTTCTTCTTCTTAAAATTGTCAATGTATAAATTGAAAACAGTGTGTAAAGTTCTCTTTAATAAAAAATTAGATCGAAAATTCCCGATTATTCTCTGCTCTTCCAAATCATTTCTCTTCACTTCTCACATGGTATCAGAGCCTTGACAAGTGTCAATGGCTGACATTTTCGACTCTTCTAAGCTCTTCAACGCTGAAAAAATGTTGAATAGCTCTAGCAGTTCCAACAATTTTGCTCCTTCTATGTTTTCGTTTGGATTATAGGTTGTTAACCCTAAACTCACATGAGATAACTACTGGTTCTAGAGATCGCAAATCCTCTTCGCGGTTGGAGCTCATGAACTGGAGGATTACTTAACTGGTAATAACTCTTGCCCTCCTCCTATAATTTTTACCAAGCAAAACGTTTCTACACATTGATGATCCTAAAGAGAAAGAGGGTGAAATTAAAGAGGAAATTAATCCTACCTATGTCAACTAGAAGCGTATAGACAAATTCTTGGTCAGTTGGCTATTAGCATCAATTTCAGAAAGTATGTTTGAGTATGTCTCTAAATGTCATCATTCACATGAAATCTTGTCTGCTCTTGAACATGAGTTTGTGATCGATTCTAAAGCTCGTGCTTTGCATTTAAAGAATTTGTTACAAACTACGCAAAAGAAACATTTAAGCATAGATAACTAAATTCAAAAAATGAAGGAAATAACATCAAGCCTATCTGCAAGTGGACAATCAATCTCTGATGAGGATTTACTCCAATATGTACTTGATGGACTTAGTCTAGAGTATGATGCGGCAGTCGTAAACCTTACTTCAAGAATTGAGTCAAAACTTGACTATGTCACTTTACAAGAAGCGAAATTCTTGTTGCAAAAATATGAGGTTCGACTTGAGAAGTTTAACTCACTAG